CGCATAACAAGTCGATTGTCTCTTCTAAAGCAACATTCGTGAAGAGCTACATGAATGTTTTATAGTGTCTAAGACGGTAAATGTATCACGGAGGTTAGACATGGATGAAACGTTCCTCACTGGTTCTAAAACTTAAGCTAGCCAGTTCGCTGTTGCGTGGTAAGGTGAGTTGCACATGTCCAATATGGGTCTAAGTGGAAGCCCCAACTTAACTACCTTTGATAGGCCGTAAAGTCTCGGAATCGTCGTCCCTGTGGGTCAAAGTTGTTCGAACGTGGTAGCGTCAATCGCGTTTGCTTGTTTCAGGTGCCGCAGAAGCCTAGTACAGGTCTTATCAATCGCTGCTGTTTTGCCCCCCTCATTCTCCATTGTACGAAACTTTGCGCGATCGCTGTGGATGACCTCCATCTTTTCAATATAGTCAGCTTTCTCCATCAGAATCATCCCTGCCCCTTTATCCGGCTTGGAGAGTAGTACATTCTCGTTTTGTTTGAGTGCTTTGAGAGCGTCTAGTTAGTCGTTCTTCAGCAAGTACCTGAATTTGGGTTTATGCTTCAGAGACTGAAAACTGTATTAACCAAGATAGATTTAAAATGCTCGGACGCTACTGCTGACGACGGCGTAAGTGAAGACACTTGAGAGTACAAATTTTCGAAATAAACCTATAATTCTAGTCGTCCTGAATAACTACGGGGACAGCAAAACTTCGGACCAAGTGAAATTACCTCTAAGAGTGTCTTATCCAGGTTCAACGATGAAAAATGGAGAACGTAGTGTTCCGGGTCGGGTAGAAATAAACTGCTTGCCTTAGTCGTGCTAACTTGTCGCGGTAATGACGTTAGACGTTTTTCTTCTTGATTTGTGGTTATTTGTTGAATAAGCCTCTCGACTCACTTGCATTCATTTGCATCTATTTTGTTTAGCATGACGGAAAACGCGCAACGGTTACGCTTCAAATCATCAAGTCTGAAATTCCTGTCTGATGAATAAGGTCCATTTTTCTTATTAATTTTAATGTACCGTTGCGCGTTTTCCGTCATGCTAAACAAAATAGATGCAAATGAATGCAAGTGAGTCGAGAGGCTTATTCAACAAATAACCACAAATCAAGAAGAAAAACGTCTAGCGTCATTACCGCGACAAGTTAGCACGACTAAGGCAAGCAGTTTATTTCTACCCGACCCGGAACACTACGTTCTCCATTTTTCATCGTTGAACCTGGATAAGACACTCTTAGAGGTAATTTCACTTGGTCCGAAGTTTTGCTGTCCCCGTAGTTATTCAGGACGACTAGAATTAGAGGTTTATTTCGAAAATTTGTACTCTCAAGTGTCTTCACTTACGCCGTCGTCAGCAGTAGCGTCCGAGCATTTTAAATCTATCTTGGTTAATACATTTTTCAGTCTCTGAAGCATAAACCCAAATTCAGGTACTTGCTGAAGAAAGACTAACTAGACGCTCTCAAAACACTCAAACAAAACGAGAATGTACTACTCACCAAGCCGGATAAAGGGGCAAGGATGGTTCTGATGGAGAAAGCTGACTATATTGAAAAGATGGAGGTCATCCACAGCGATCGCGCAAAGTTTCGTACAATGGAGAATGAGGGGGGCAAAACAGCAGCGATTGATAAGACCTGTACTAGGCTTCTGCGGCACCTGAAACAAGCAAACGCGATTGACGCTACCACGTTCGAACAACTTTGACCCACAGGGACGACGATTCCGAGACTTTACGGCCTATCAAAGGTAGTTAAGTTGGGGCTTCCACTTAGACCCATATTGGACATGTGCAACTCACCTTACCACGCAACAGCGAACTGGCTAGCTTAAGTTTTAGAACCAGTGAGGAACGTTTCATCCATGTCTAACCTCCGTGATACATTTACCGTCTTAGACACTATAAAACATTCACGAATGTTGCTTTAGAAGAGACAATAGACTAGTTATGCGACACCATTCGGCCTTTCGAACAATCGGTTGAAAAAGATACTCACGTTTTGTACTAGCAACATACAATTTCAGTTTAATGGGTTAATCTACAGACAAAAAGACGGAGTAGTGATGGGCTCACCGCTAGGATCGCTGCTGGTAGATGTATTCATGAGCAAATTAGAAAAGAACTACCTGAGCGGAGTCATTAGCGTATTACCCTATTATGAAAGATTTGTAGACTATATATTATGTGTGATAGACGGTCAATGCTGCGCACAGCAAATTCTATCCCTTTTAAACTCAGTGCACGACAACGCGAAGTTTACTCTGGAATCTGAACGTTATGGTACGATGTTTTTCCTAGACGTCTAAATTATCAGAAGATCAGATAGGTCGATCCAACGCATAGTTCACAGAAAAGCCACGTGGAATGGATAATACATGCAATTTGCTAGCTTTGTCTCACTAATTGAGAAGCGGAACTGTATTAGATGTTTAACCGAAAGGGCAAGAAGGATATGTAGTGAGCACACGCTTTCAGACGAGCCGAATTTATTCGCTGGTCTTTTTGAGATTAACGTCTATCCCGAAATGTTTGTTCGGAGATATATGGAGTGCCGGGAATCCAGGGTTAAACTGATTCGGCTGAAAAGCAATTGGTTTATCTGTCGTTGCCATTCAAAGGGGCTGAAATAGCGCAGGCAACGTTTAGAAAGCTATCCGACCCCATAAACCGTACGTACTACGCGGTAAGCATACGCCTAAGATTTGCTTCAACACCAATCGTAAGGCTCCAACCTAAGGACAGAATTCCTCGGACACCTACTTCTTTCTATTTATTTTCCTTTACTTGTTCATGTTGAGCAAGTTATATCGGAAGAACAAGCAGGATACTGTCTGAGAGAATCCGTGTGGATTGCCCGATTTGGCTGTGTGCAGGCGGAAGTTAAACAGTGACAAGCGCCGTGTTGGCACATCTGTTTGATTTAAACCGCCATATCGAATGTCACCAAATTTTTTAGCCAATTTACCGCGTATCTGGATGCTACACACGAGCGGTAAGATGACGCCTACTAGCAACAGCCGAATCTATCGCTATCCGTCTCCGGAACCCAGACCTATGCGCCCAAAATTAATTCCTTGAAAATCTCTCTCCTCCCTGGTCCCCTATGCCATTAACCTCTGCTGTGATATGTACAACTGACACGTCGTTGATCGTTTGTGAACCAAGCACTTGACATTGTCATTTAGATGACCTAGACGTTTTAATTTTACCCTTTGAAGTCAACTCCCGTCTGATGTTTTAACTCACATTACTCTTACTAGTTGCGGTGTACCGGTCTGACGAAATACACCGATCACCATGTTTTTCTCTGACTCTTTTTTTTCAACACTTGGGATATTTGCTCATTTGGAAGGTCAGTTTTAACCGGGCATGTCTTTTTTCAAAATTATCTTGCTTGCATTTTACCAGTGTAACGTTTATTTATATATTTCTTTTGCTCGGTTAACGATGCGAAAATGGACCAATTTAATTGGTCACAATATATATCCTTGGAGTTCCTTTGTGGAATCCTGCATCTGTGTTAATGTGACAACATTTTAAGTCTCCATGAACTGGCAATATTTTCCTTTCATTATTAGTTTTCTTACTTTTAGCTTCATACTTCTCAGTTTAATCCTCCCAGAACTAATTGTCGATCAATCACAGTTTTGCACATTAAAATTCCACATGTAAGCTTATTTTGCTATTTACCCTGATGCATGTCAAACAGCTAACAATGTTATGTTACTGGTAAGTAGCAAGAGTTTTACTGTGCTTCTGATAAGGCTTTCATCCTAGTAGCTCACAAACTACATAGAGTAACCTATTACGGGAATATATAATACACCTTTCGCCCTACTGCGCCTCGTCAGTTGTGCGCATACCCTTGGTCTTCTAAGTAGGTTCCAAACCACGACTTCTAGAGGCAGATGTCAACTATTGGGCATCTTAAGTCACTGAGCCATGGCGGACGTTGGCTTGGCTACATATTTTGCAAACTAACTGGGATAAACCACAACCTATCTTCCTCTGTCACTGACAGTGGTTAGCGCGCTAGGTGATGACATCCTCTCAGTGGATACTATTGTCATATCACTTTAAAACTAAGGGAGGCTATTTGTTTTATATTATTGGTAAGTATCAAGACATAGCAATCATTGAGAAGATGTCATCACGTTGCAGGCTAACCACTGTCAGTGACAGTGGAAGATGGGTGGTGCTGTATCCCAGTTACTTTGCAAATTATTTAGCCTAGCGAACCTCCTCCATGGCTCAGTGAATTAAGCTGCTGGCTAGTTGCCATTTGCCTCTAGCGGTCATGGGGTCGATCCTCCTTAGAGAACCGAGGGAATGCTTACCACTGATAGCGCCAATAGAGCGAAACGCGTCTGGTGCTTTTCAGGACTAGGCTCTGCTATGTAGCTTGTAAACTACATGGATGAAATGTTAACAATTTGTTTGACCTAGAAGGCTATTTTCCTCCAAATGTCAACGTATTTCTGCTTTCATACGGTCTCCTGAGATCACTCCATTGGAGGTAAAGTTTTATCAGCCGTTTAAAGCTTCTAGATTTTGAGTTAGTTACCTTAGTGTCAATATATACTGACAGGTTTAGCGTCATTTTCTAACTTCCTAAACCTCAAGTACAATCGCTTAGGTGATTAAACTTTCATAATAACCGGAAATGCGAAACTTGAATGTTACTGGCAATTAGCCATCCGGTAAAAACTCTTTTGTATATTTCTGGTAAGCCAGATAATATCAAACCGCATCAAGATGCGAAGTCGTCTGCGTATAGCGTGTTACTTTTTAATCCAAACAACAATTCGCGAAATGGTTCATATTCCAACTGAGAAAAGCAAAAACCACCCAAGAAATTGTCATTACCATATCTATTTTAAAAATTCTGTACACAAATGCTTTACACATTCAGCAACGAAATCAAATTGTCTAGGAAATCTCAATAGATCGCTTTACACAAATGAATCCTTAACATGGACACATACATAAAATAGTTCAACATGCATTCCGCGTGCCAAGCATCTTAATCAGAGTGTCTGTATTTCAGGGATAGCGTGAAAAGCAATAATTGCAAGCGAGTATTAAAAGTGTTCGCAGTCGAAGTTTCGATGCGTTTGTCAACCGGTAACTTATCATACGCATGATTCTAGTGAATGTTTAAACGTTCTGTGTTTAGGAAAAATAATTCACAGCTCATAGTATGCACTCAGAAATTGAGTGGGGGAACAGAAGTGGAATTTGATATGTTAAGCATAGGAATTTTGCAAAATCTCTGGTCCGGATAGTGTACAGTCCGCTGATTTTCGTTTTCCTTCATTGATGGTGAGAAACCTTTGGACTTTTGTTCTCCTAAATCACTTGGACAGATTGCTAAAGAAACCTATTTTGGCTGCAATTCCACCGGTCGAAGGTGCCACCGTTTTCCGGACTGGTTTTCTTGCAGTGCTTAGTTTGGTCACGGAAATCTGCTTACTGCTTGTAAGTTCGTTTGGTCGCTGTGTCCTGGCTTGCAGTTCGGGCTTATCTATCAAATTAGGTGTATCATTGGTACATGGTAGTTTATTAATTGGTAGGGGAATACACCTGCTCGGTTCTTCTACATTATGGAGGGAAACTGGGATTTGGGCGGACACATTACTGCTGCCTCCTGATGGAGTTTGTTGCTTATGTTCAGACGGTGCAGTACTTGAAACCGGAGGGAATGCAGGACTACGTTTGGTGAGGGCAATTATCTTTGGATTCTCCTTAACCATGTTGATTAGACTTTTTTCTTTCTTATCACTTTTTCCACGCCGAACTGAAGGGTTCACTAATTTTGTACTATCTACAGATCCTTCACGGCAACCAAATCTGCTCAGAATAGAGGAACGTCTGGAGGAATTTGCTTGACTTGTAGTTGGGCTGTCGGATTCGCTTCCGATTGAGCGCTTTGGCGTCTTTCTTGTAAATATTGCACCTATTTTTCCCTCCTTCTTTGCTGTAGTTTGTAACGCTTTGTCTTTATTCATGGAGGTATTTGATTGGCACTCTGGTAAATGTATGGGTTTTTGCGGTTGAAATTCTGCATTAACCATGCTGGGTGAGTTAACTTCATGCGAATGATGAAGCACCACACCCATTCGGAGTAAAGCAACAATCGCATTTACAGCTTTCTAAAAGGTAGACAAAATGGAAAAGGGGCAGTATAGTCAGTGAACCAATAGCAGTTTATTGATAATTATGCGGTATTATTTTAATATTTTAATAAATAGCCAAATCAAATACATGGTATTTCATATGGCAACTCGCTAAATACAAAATCAAAAATATGTTAGCTGAACTCGACGACTGAAATAGGTCAACATATAGTAGTGGTAACTGTGAGTCGGCACCTCTTAATCATAGGTGTATCTGCATACCTTTATCATTTCCAATTATCATTTCCTTCACTGCAGAGACGTTACGAAATGCATACATCGGCCGATCTTCGCCTTTTCAATGTGATTTTCAACAAGTTTTATCATTTGTTACGTCCTTACAATTTATGATGCCACCTAACCTTGTACTAGCACATTTTGATGCTCGCCGATAACCCCATACGAAGGGAAAGGACGAGACGTGGTTCCGGTTTTATCCTGAGCAGCAGTATTTGCAATTTAAGTCAGAGTCAATTCATCAAAATTTAGTAGAGGTAACGTGTTGAGCTTGCAACACTTAGTAGGCGACAAGCTATGGATCCGCGAATTAACGAAAACCATACTTACATCTTAATCAACAAGATGACTTGCGCCGCTTCAGGCAATCCGAAAAGGACTCGAAGACTGGGAACCGACACGTCAGGCTGCTGCGACGGGCGTTGGGAAAAATAAACTGCAGCCTATTTCGACAATGGCTTAATGCGTATGTTCGTCTGTATATCAAATACGTAATTAAAGCCGGGCTTCCATGGCTGAAACAGGACCTTAATGCACTGAAGCAGCCACAGCGTCGGACGTCTAAGAAGGCAATTGGGATGCGCAATTTTTCATACCAGAAGAGGCTGCAACTATTGGGAGTATTCAGCGGAAGACGTCGCAGACTACGAGGCGACCCGATTATGCCGTACTTGATTGTGGGATTCCCACATCAAGTATGCCGCGCTTTACTGCGACTCAGCACCAATACAACCCTATGGGACCTTTCATTGAAACTCGCAAAATATACAGCCTTCTGGAGTGCCGCAGAAATTTCACTTCCATTCGTATATGTCACCCGTGGAATGCTCTCCAAGAATCGGTCGTCACCGTACCGGCACTAACAGTATTTAAAAGACGGTTGGACGAAGCACTCATCCACTTACACTTTGCCACCTAGTACCACGTCTCCATTCTACACCAGGAGTTTACCATGGAATTATTTGATCTTAACTGCAGGTGCTGTGAATCTAAGCGGATTTCAGGAATAATGCGGCGCAAACTATAAGTCCTTATTTTCAGATTTGAAGTACTAAATGTTTTACTATCATTATTACCATTATTTTACATCGATATCCCCAAAAGCTATCAAACGTGGCTTGTAAATCCAAGCTTCTTAACCCGTATAAATTGATTGTTCATGTTCAAATTGATTATTGGTCCTTCATAGTCCTTTGTCTGATGTGAACGCGTATACAGTAAAACCACCAATGTCGACCACCTATATATAATGCCACTTCCCTATGTTGACCAATTTTCCAAAGCTTGAACGGTCACTACATGAACCCTAAGGAATCAGACTAAGTATGTTTAACACTTCTGTAAGTTGTATGTCGAACACCTGAGCTTGGACAGTCAGCACTAATCAGACTTCGATAAAATGATCATTTGAGTGTTAACCATCCAATGGTTTCTGATTGGCTCGTTTGTACCAATAGCACGTTGTGCAGCGGGACTGTAATGTGTGAACTTCTGACCTCCAAACTAACTGAAGGTTACGTTTGAGGATATAGGTGTTCTCTGTGTGTATGTGCGTCTTTGTCCAGCCCGCCAGGGATAAGGACCTGCGTAGTACCTAGATCAATCCGGGTCCCAGAGACACGCGCCCACGAATTGAGAGAACAATGTGTGTTGATAACGGAGAAGTAGTGGGAGGAGCTAAATGGTATAGATCAAAATTCGTCAAATCTAAACTCAATCAGACAGCAGTCACACGCGCGGAAAAGCACTGTACGCGCGTTTCACCCTTTAGGTAATCGTCAGCAGTGCGTATGTGATGAGCTTCTATACATACAAGTCAACCTCCCTAATACTCCTCTGTAAACAATACACATATCAAAATGATGAAAATGTCATAAGTTAACTGTCGGCCTAACTTTGGTAAGCTCGTCGATTAGTGAAGGGGCTACCCTGTAATATGCACGGCACTGACGTCTAAGACAATGGAAACTGGGCAGCGCTATATAACCTCTAGTAAATTATTTATGATGATAGTTGCCATCCCCCGTAGCGCCGTGGTCTCAGCCACGTACTGGCAACAGTGGAGTCGCGGGTTCGAAAATGCGCATCGCTAGCAATTCCAGAAAGGAAAAAATGCGCGTACAGTGCTTTTTTGTGAGTGTGATGCCTGTCTGAGTGAGACCAGATGCGACAAATTTCTAAATAGAACGAAGTGACTTCAAAATACTTCACCCAACCAAAAGCGTAGGCGTGAATTAATATAAGGCATTTCCCGCAACATTTATTCAAAGTCCAAAAAAATAATAAAATGCGCAAACCTTTGCAAAGAATTTCCAGAAATTCGCAAAGAAAGTCCATAATGTTTCAATAAACTGTGCAATTCGTCAGCCGATCAGAGCCAATTCTCTGACCTTAAATGTGTTCTCTTTGGCAGCATGCCGAACTTCGGTGCGTTAGTCTGGGGTGGTGAGCGCGCTGCCGGTTGACTGGGTGGGACTTGTGAATGAACCATAGAGGCATGGACTTCGGCGGTGCAACAGGCTTGTATCCCCCCCCCCTAACGTCCGAAACGGTGGATCACAATTGGTCTGAGAGCAATGAACAGCCAGAACATAAGCGCACGACCGAAACAATGCCTATGATTCTAACGTCGACAGCACGTCTTCCTGCGTTAGAGAGTATCTCATCAGACATTTTGACGGAGTTTTGGGCGCCTTGCTCAACCGTGATGACTGGCAGCTGGTGGCAACTTGAACAACGTCAAATATCAAACAGCCTACCCCTGGATTCGTCGTTCTCTTGATCAGGAGCCAAGTACTACGCAGACGCGCAGTCGTAAGCGGATTCTGTCGAAGGAAGACATAAACGACATCCTGGATTGGATCGCAAGGGACTCAACGCTTACGCTACAGGAAATGCGAGTACGACTACGAGCAGAAATGGACTACAAAATTTCGAAGTCAACAATCGCATGGCACCTGGATGGTCGATTGATAATTGTGAAGAACGTTTAGCAGGTTCCCGAGGGAATGAACAATGAGCGAACCAAAGGAATACGCAGGGGATTCGTGCAGCAGTTGATCCAACTGTAGAGCGACGGCACGTTCTTCATTTGGATTTACGAAGCAAACTCCAACGCTTACTGCAAACGTACTCGTGATCTAGCGCCCAGAGGAGAGAGGGCCCGGTGCAAAATTACCAAAAGTAAAGGCCTTAATTTGCATTTGATCGGTGCACGTACAATGGAAGAGAAAATGTCAATGACCACTCGGAGAGACTCCTTCACAGGTCCCGTATCACACCTATGGATGCAAAGCTACTTATACAAACCGAAAAGGGGGATGTTGCTCGGGCAGGTTTTCGTGGAATGTGGTAATGCACCATGTCACGCATGACTGGAATTATTGTCGTCAGTAGATGGATAAGAATGAATAACCAAACTGGGACTGAGCCCATACTCTCTGCTCCTCAATCCGATCGAGAATGTTTGGCCGGTGGTGAATGCCAGGGTGAAGAATGATATGAGAGCGCACTACGAGGAACTTCTTGCCGTGCATCCCCAGATGCTCATGACGCAGATGGAATGGAGGCTGCAGTTCTTTGAACGCATTGCCGGAGCAGCTACACACGATATCAGCGTTGTGGGATATCGTACATTTTTCTAATCGTCTAGAAAATGTGACATGTTTTGATTAAGTTGCTGGCCTATTCTTCGCGTATCTTTTTGTATAGCCCGCCACGGGCAGCGCGTAAGATCGTGTGGGTATCCATAGTGTTTTCAAAATATATATACACATAAGTAAATTTACGTGTTCGTACGGGGGTTGGAGCGATATCTGGTGTCTAGCTCAAAGGAGTGACACAGGACCGCTTTCCACTTGGCAACGCCCGAGTTATATGTTCAACTTGTGTTCCTTTTCTTGCTGGTATTCGCTGCGCCGTACTCTTTCATGATCAGCCTAACATAATGTAGATAGGGATTTTGTTCGGAAAACTAGGATGTTTGCGAAACGCATTGTAGTACCAAGTGTGCTTGCCAGGTGAAGTGGCCGTCAGATATTTCAGAGTATAGGATGTCATTGTGGATATTTGAATAGTAGTGAATAGGAAATTACTGCGCACGTCATGACAGCCTTTTCCAAGAGTGAGAGTAACTGATAGATGCGCAAATGTGAGTTCGCAAACGCGTCAATTGCTACATAAAATGTCATAATTGAAGCAGAACGAATGAATCGCGTGTCTAATTGAGACCGACTTTGTGCGATGTTTGTCCACTGTATTTAGTGCAATGGCGCGTTACTTCGTTACCCCATTTGGAAGTTGGTCAGTCAAAACACGAGATTCTTGTTCACCGGCTTGTGGATTTACTTTCCACCAGATGCTGAAACCCCAAGTCATGGTAAAATTGCAAATCCCATTGACTAAGTGTTACACTGAGCCAAAACCTTAGACAGGGGGATCAGGTGTCTAGATAACTGACCATCGCTTGAATCCTGGTGCCATTTGTGACAAATGTTATTGCCTGTCGTGCAAGTGCGAAATACTGCCAAGCAGCTGGATTATTTACGGCACATATATCTATCAATGCCACCTGAGTGCCCAATAATCCGTTACTTCGACTTTTATGGCGCTTGTCAAAATGTTTCTACGTTGTTAAACGTGGTAATGACAGAACATCAGATACAGACGATCGAAATTTTGAAGTCATTACTACCATCTATCTATGTGTAGGTTATGTGTCTTGCGAGTGCGCAAATGCG